AGCAGGAATATCAGCAAAACATTTTCAGCATGTTTCACAAATTTGCCAGCATTTCTCAGACCGTTTGGTGAAATTCTGCAGACACGATGGAGTCATTTTGTAAAAAGTCTTTTAATTTTACTAGTTAAAAATATTCTGTGATGCCCCATCACCTTCTGGATTTTTTTTTCTTCCCAAGCTTGAAAAGATCATTAAATAGTATTTGTTTCCTTCAGCTGATTAACAGTTGGCCCAGCTTTAATGATAAACAAAAACCTACATGTAACCACTGAAGTCCAAATTCAGGAACAATTAGCATCTCCAACCAGACAGATGGGAAAATGGACAAATAAATGTAACCAAGCCAAGCAGCTGAAAAGAACAATGTATTTACAATGGAGAAAAGCAATTTAATTTAAGGTAGAATCATAGTTTCATGGTGTGGTGTAGTTTGTCACATTCACTATTATCCTTGTAGCTTGTGGCTGTATAATGGGGTTAGAAAGGACCTTAAGGGTCAGTTACTCCAACCTCCTTCATAGGAGCAGGATTTACCGTACCCAAACTGATATGGTTCAAATGTCCTGTTTTTCATGTTGAGCCAATGCGCAAAGCATCATTCTATTAGGTTTCCCATTGTACCATGGTTAAATTCACAATATAACAACTACTACTATTTACAGAAAAGAAGCACCAGCAGTTGTATCTGATCCTAACCTTGCAAACACATTTTTGGAGTCATCTGGATTCAGCAAAGCAGCCAGACCCTGGCTAACAAAGTTCTGAGATCCCTGGGGATTTTTCCCAAAGTAAAATCCACCCCCTGAATTAGACTGGTAGACTCCTTTAAAAGCATGCCTTGTGTTAGGTGCCTCTGAATGGGACCCACAAAAGCCAGAGCAGTGGCAGCTGCTAAGTTGGCCAACAGGGGAATTTTGGGTTGAGGGTGCATCTTATCTCTTTTTCATCATAAGGTCCTTTGGTTTTCTTTATCAAGTGTCCAACACACGTTCACACTCATTCTCTCTCTACCAGCAGAGGAACTAAGGCAGAGGTCAGGTGTCTCTTGGGAACAGTTTGAGCAGAGTTTAGGTGGGAGTCGAGTGCCTTGATGCACCTAGGCAGACAAAACTCTTGGGGTAGAGGCAATATCTTTTATTAGACCAACTAGATCGTTGCAAAAAACTTTTTTTTTTATTTGCAAGTTTTTGGGCCCAAACACCGTTCATCAAAGATTGTAAAACTTCTCCCAGATAGAAAGGAAACTTCATATGGCACAGGAGAACTAAAAAGCTAGTATGGTTCTCCTAGGCAGGAAAGTTCATTTGTAAAGAGGTTATTCTGCGAATATGCAAATTAGGCTCAAATGAAGGCTGTAGCAGTTGGTTTACCTCGGGTGTCTGATGGGAGGTAGGTTGCTGAATTTTGCTTCCTTCTCATTGTTCATGTTGCACAAGAGAATTAAAAGGTGATATGGTGCTCCTGGGTGGTAAAGTTCATTTGTAAAAAAGCTGCTCTGTGAGTATGCAAATTAGACTCAAACACAGGCTGAAGCCAGTTGTTCACCTCAAGGTGACCAATGGCAGGCAGGATGCTGGATTTTGCTTCTTTGTTCTTATGTTGTGAAGGTTTCATTTTAAAGCGGCTAATTACACCATCTTCCATGTTTCAGGGATATTTGATGTAGCCGTCTTGGTCTAGAGGCATAGGCAGACAAAACTCTTGGGGTAAAGGTGATATCTTTTATTGGACCAATTAGATAGTTGCAAAATATATATATATATATATTTGCAAGCTTTTGGGCCCAAGCACCCTTCATCAGGCAAACGAGAACTCAAAGATTGTAAAATTTCTCCCAGGTAGAAACAAAACTTCATGTTGCACAGGAAAACTAAGTGCACCTAAGTGTTCTGCAGACACATTTGGGAAGATGCAGAAGCCCTAGCATAGATACTTGGCAGCTCATGGTGAAGATGCCTAATGAACTGGGGCAATCCCATGAGCTCTGGGGCTTGTGGCGAGGGCCACTTGGGATTTAGCTCCCAAAACTCCACCTATGCCACCAAAAGAGGCACTCTACATCCTGCCCTTTGTGTTTAGATAGATTCACATTCACGGTTTTGAAGTTCTCTTATCAAAAGCTGTGGAATGATTTTAATGACACAGCAACCAATAACGTATTTATGTAGCGAAATGTCAGCTTTTTCACATTTTCACGCACTGGGAATAAAGTAATGCAAACTGTGATTATTGCAATTCCCAAAGTTAGTAATGATGTGGTTCTCGACAACAGTACTGGGATATGCAAATAATGACTTTTTTTTTCCCTTTTGATACAATTTCATTATTTGTATTGCTACTAGTGGTTCACCAATAAAGGCGAACATCACATTAGGATTCATGACAGTTTTCACATTGTATTATCAATATGTGGAAATAATTGTCTGCTCTGAGATTAAATTACATTATTGTGTATCTTTTTCATGCCTAATAAATAATGATGGATGGCTTTTATTTTCATCACCACCTGCAACCATTTAGTCACCCCTTGATTGTTGAAGATAAAATAATAAAAGGCAAGTGTTATGTTGCAAGCCAAAGAATGCAGTCAAAACAGTTGCATGTTTCGTGTTTCTGTCTGCCTTATTCTCGTCCCTGAAGAGTAATAGATGGTTGTCTGTGAAAGCAAGCAACCTGCAAACTGGCAAACAGTTCACATAAATTGAGCAAGGGGGGAAAAAAAGTGGAAAAAATATTTTTTCTAGTGGAACAATTGTTATTTCTTCTTGCATGATTCATAATCTGAAAATTAGGTTTTTGTTCTGCTGTGCAAATCAGTTACATGCAATTAGAATGCAAAGCAGAGACGCATCTTAGTATTTAGCCTTGTTAAAATAGAAATGAAAACAGCCCTGTACATTGTAGCGAAGTTTAAAATGCATCTTGGTAATTTTGAAGTCCAAAGAAATAAAACCATGCATAATAAAAAAAAAGCCCACTCTACCTCACTCCGTTTTTTTTTTTTAATTGCCAATTTTGGGGCTTTGTAGTAAAAATACATGTTGCATGTTTTGGAAGCCTGAAATAATTGAGTTTTTTGCTACTGTTTGTATTGTTCTCTGTCTCTCTCGCTCTTACACACACACACACACACACACACACACACACACACACACACACACACACACTTTGTTTCACTTCTATGCACCATTGCCTTTGCTGCTAATCTGGTTTTCCCTTGGAATTGTTGCAAACTTTTTCCTTTTCATACTGATCCCGAAACTCTCTTTTAAATCCAAAACAAATGGATTTGACATTCTTAGTAAAAGCTTACATTAGCTATTGTCACAAGTCTTTAATCAACCTCACTCTTCTCAGATTTTTATATCATTAGCATACCATGCTATGTTGGTGCTGTTCTATGCGGAATGCAATAATAGCCTTTAAAAAAAATTATAAGGCAACATCTAGAATAGAAAGTTATCATTGGATAATTTCATTACCAGTGAGTGTATCAAAACAAGCTGAAGAGAAATTCTTCCTCTTCAAAAAGAAAAAAAAAACCCCTCAGTTATGAGTCAAAGGTTTATTCTTTGTGTGCAGTTTCACATGCTTGGCTCTATTATCTTTAAATCACAAGATGACAATCTTCTCAGGCATACCAGAGAGTCAACCAAAATCCAACTGTAATAGATAATCCTATCAAATGTCAAGTTACTGAGGAGAAGTGGTTTGAAAAATAGGCCAACAGTCCATTACTTGATTTACCTCAAAAGGATGTTAACGTTTCCACAGTCTGTCTTCAACAGGGTACACTTTTTGTGCTTCGCCAAATTGTTTAAAAGCCTTTGTTTCACAAATAAAGGGCCACCTTTTCTTGCTCATAAATTTATTATTTTACAAACGGTATCTATTGTTTTAAAATATACTACAGTTTTCACTATATAACCAGGGCATTGTGCTTAAAATAATTAATCTGGTTTTCCTTATTCTGAACAGGATGGGTGTTGTAACCAGCAAAAACGTGGATTTACTGATCTAAATTTTTAGGGGAAGTATTCAACAGCTGGTTACCAAAAGCTCATAAGAGCTGTAGGTTTCAACAGCCTTTTCAGCTAGAGCAAGGGTGGGCAAAATGCGGCCCAGGGGCCGGATGCAGCCTGCCAGGCCATTCTATTTGGCCCGCGGGGCCCCTAAAAAATTTAGAAAATTAATATTTATCTGCCCCTGGCTGCCTGTCATGCACCCCTCGATGGCTTGCCAAAACTCAGTAAGTGGCTCTCTGCCCAAAATAATTGCCCACCCCTGAACTAGTCTGATAAGTAACTGTGTTGTATAACTAGACTATTCCTGGAGCAGTGAAAGCTCCCCTACCCAAGAAAGCTGCCCCTAAACATCATAAAAAATGTATCTACAGGACATCACTGAGAGTGGTGTGCGGTTAGGTGCCACGGACTTTGAAGAAAGCAGATCTTTGCATGAGATGCCTACATCACAGATTAAAATGCATGCAGCAATACTGCTCTAAGAGTCCCCAAGAAACTGTAGCTTGTGCCTTGATGAAGAAAATGAAGCCAGTCTGGAAAAGCTTCTGGCCTATCTCACTGGTAAACAGGAAGTCCTAGCCCGATATCCTCCAGAGACTCTTCTCCAGTCTGTTCCCATTTCATTCAGCCAAAGCATCATCGACACCACCTACATAAAACAAAGAGAAGAGAAAAATCACGAGCAGAAATATCACCCTCTGTAAAAACATTCCCCTTCATTACAGCAAACCCTTGCAGTGCGCTCACCGGGTTTACTCGTACGTATTTCCCATCCTCATCTTGTTGCATTAACAGGCAACCCCAGGGCATTTGAGTTGTAACGCTGAGATCCTTGCCAGTCGTGAAGGTAGCAAAACGAGAGTAGTGCAGTTGGGGGGTGGATTGTGGTTTATAGGACTTTGACTGCCTCCTTTCAAAAAAAGAGTTAAATCTGCAAGTGAAAAATAAACTCTCCCCAAATTCAGAACGCCGCCAGAGGCAATCACTAACCTTTAAATACATGTGCTACATTCAAGCCATCATCAATAGAGAGGTAATTTTAAGACTCAGTTCATTAACACTGAGCTGTTGATGGAGCTGTAAACACGCCAGCCCATTGTAGTTTCTAGCCTGTTGCCAGTCATTCTTCTCTTGTTAGTTGACCTGCCAGTGGCTTTTGAAAGCAAAAAAAAAAAAAAAGAGTTATTTCAGATTCACAGCAGTTGCTTCAGTTCACATATGAGTTTAGAAAGCAGTTCTGACCTCTACAAAATATTACAGTCGCAGAAGTGATACAAAAGCATTTGGCACACATTTGCAGAAAGGGTGGAGCCTGAGGCAGGCCAGGCCAGGCCAACAGGAGGAGTCGATGTTGCATCTTTGGCTTCGGACCAAACATCAGTATTAGCCCT